AAAAAAAAAAAAAAAAAAAAAAAAAAAAAAAAAAAAGAAAAGAGGGAGGGGGGGGGGGGAGGGAGGGAGGGAGGAGGGAAAAAACGAAGAAGTGCAGCAAGGCACCCAGCTTCTGGTTTCTCACACAGAGGTGGCAGGCGAGCAGTGAATGAATTCCTGGATTTATCAGGAGAGACAAAGCTTCGAAAGGGTTAGAAAAGCAGGAATTTAAGGAGCGAGTTTCCCACTGGAGCTGTCCCTTACCTTGCTGTTCTGCTCTGTAGATTAGTTTGTCGGTTTGGACAAAGAGCAGATTCTCTGGTTTCTTAACCTGCACATTTTTCCGGCTCCAGAAAGCCTGGGTCAACCCTCTTGCTATCACAGTGAGAATGGCTTCCGGTGGGGATAAAATGTTGTTCCCCCTGGGAATCTGCAGGATGAAAAGGGATCAAAGCAAATGATTTGAAAGGTTGAAATGCCCAAACCCAGGTGGATAAGGGCAATCAATGGATTTGGATTCTGTTCCAGCAGCTGATCTTGGCTGGTCTCAAAAAAAAAAAAAAGTTAAAAGTTAAAAGTTCAGACCTGATTAGTTCTTGGATGGGAGACCACTGGGGAATCCCAGAACTGGAACCTAAACTGGGAAGATGAAAATCTAACCCAGGGGAAGGTTCTAGCAGACCACTTGCCAAGAAAAGTGCAAGTTTGACTCAAGAATTAACACAGTAGTCTGGCAGCTGCATTTTGAAGAATGACAGGTATTTTTAGAATATAGGTATAGATACATAAATAAAATGCTTTTTCTCTTTAAAAAATATGTGAACAAATTCACCACTGGGTTTTTCTGGCTTGCAGTCAGCAAGGCTTGAATCTGTGACCTTGGACTCGCAAAGCCGTGTTCTTTCACTGCCCCAGCTGCACCCCTGTTTGTCTCTTTCCAGTGACACATTGCCCTCCCCCTCGTAGCAACACCCAGAGCTCAGCTGAGATTTGCTAAGCCCACTTGCCCCACATCCAGACATTGTGAAGGGGGCAAGTAGCATTTCCAGCATGTTCAGAAGGAGAATTGACAAAACTTTTCATGAGCCCCCAGTTACTGTAGCATCTAGCTTAGCCCAAATGTATTTTTTCAGAACGGGGCTTAGGAAATTTCCTATGAAAACTCGCACTGGTTAAGTAATCATGCTTTTAAAAAACATCCAAGCTGTACTTCTTCCAGGCTTCTTCCCAGCTGGAAGAAAAAAAAAAAGAAATAGTTTTTCTTTATTCACGGATAATAAATTCTGTGACATTATGTAATTCAGAGGGCCCTGGATTTAACTGTCCAACAATGTAGGTTAGGATTGGAAACACATCTTGCAAGAGAGAGAGTCGCACCTGGAAAGGAGCACATTGAAAGACATCTTTCTCAGTCACCATTTCTTGCTTCAGATTCCAGTTTCGGGTCCCGTATTCCAGAGAGACAGCCAAGGTCATTGCTTCCGTCAGATGGCTCATCTGGACACAGAACGTCTCAGAGGTCCCCATCTGGATTGTTTCGGGCACCAACACTACATATTGCCTTGAAAAGAGGGGCAAGGACTGTGATCAGGGGCCGTGTGGAGCAGGTGGGGTGGGTGTCCTGAGATTTGGGCCTGCCTCGGTGGAGATCGATAACTATCATCTCTTTAAAACAATCATCACAGAGTTATGGGAGTAAATATTGGCCTTCTGGGTTATCACACCATTTGTTCTTTCCCTAAATCATCCAGAACCACTGTCAATGCATGTGAGGCCCCACCCAGCTGACAGGATCATCTGCAGGGGGGTCAAAAAAGTCAAGGTGGTGGGTGCAACCACATGACCAAAGCCCCAGAGATCATAGGCGTAGCAAGAGAATGCCGAAGCAAGTGTAGAGTTTCCTCTCATGTTGAGGAGGGACCCAGTATCCCATCAAGAGACAGGGCAGTCTGAAAGAATGCTTTGTGTTCACACTGTTGATAATACTGGCCCAAGACAAATAGGCTCGGTGGGGTCTTATCTTGCCCCAGAGCCTGACAACCTGTTGAATTAGAAGAGATTCTGGGTCAAATAATGTCTCCCTGAAAATGAATTTTCTTCCTTTTGTCACAGTAGGTGCATTTTCTAGCCTGGTGTAGCTGGTACTTTGGACTTTATTCCTTGTGCAATGTTTAGTGGCTAAGTGGAAAGGGGCTGTAATGCAGGGGACATGAAAGGCTGGGACAGTTCTCACACAGTCCCAAGGGGACAGGCCAGGTGGTCTGTTATATAGATCCAGAAGGAAACAAAATGCAAGACAGATTCAACTAGCTAGGGTAAGTCCTTGAATCAAAACAGTCGCTGAAATTGTTAACAGCAACCACCCAGAGAAGCTCACAAGAAAATCCAAGGACTTAGGAGAAATAATATGCATTGAAGGAAATTAGGAAACTGCAATCAAATGAATTTCAAAGGGACAGGTAATAGAATTCAGTCTCATGATAGGATACCCAGCAAGATCAAAACATAAACATTATCTCCCCTGAAAGATACAAAATTAAATATTAGCCAGCATTGTAATAAAGCCAAAACAGGCAGATGCCATTTGGAACTGGGTATTTTTAGCCTTGAAAAATGAAGACTAACCAGGACAGATGAGAGTACCTTCAAATTCCTGACAGGAATCTTTTCTCTCATTTAGAAATAATGAGTTTAACTTCCAGGGAGGCAGATTCCAACTGGATACTAGAAACTACTTTCTAAAAATAGGAAGTGGAACCAATTTCCTAGAGAAATGCTCAGCTCCCTTTCACTGGATGTTTTCAGACCATGCTTAGACAGAATGTCTGGAATGCTCTAATCTGAATTCCTGTCCTGAACCAGGGAATGGACTGGATGACCTCAAGGATCCCTTCCTTCTCAATACTTCTAAAATGGAAGGATGCGCCTGTTTGTCTGCCAATCACCAATTTGTCAGGTCTTCCCAAAAGTCCAGACTGTATTCTCATTTATGCTCCTAGAAAACCTAATTTGTCTTTATCAAGTGGGAAGGAAGGAAGGAAGGAAGGAAGGAAGGAAGGAAGGAAGGAAGGAAGGAAGGAAGGAAGGAAGGAAGACAAAATTAATAGATGGGGTGTACAAAGGAAACTACTATCTTTGAAATACACACTGCATACATGTTGCATAGGTGATCCTTCCATTTTCAAGGAAGGACTCTGGGCTTGTCCAGTATTTTATCTTATACATTTTGCTTCAAGGCCCTATTGCATTCTATGGGTCTCTTCCCAGTTAAATAAAGAAGTCAGCAATCTGCCAAACCCGAGTTGCTATCACACCACCTTATGTCCCCACCTCAGGGTCCAAAGCCAGAGAGACAACCAGTCTTCCAGAAACATATTTTTTCAAAAGCTCTCCTCTCCCCGCAGTTTCTCTGCAGCGTCACTCCGCCTTAAGTTTCCATTTGCAAATCCCAGACTGAAGGATGCTTAGTTTAAAAATAAAACAAAGTGGAGTTTAAAGCCTACATTTTTCAGGAGCAGAAGGAGGCAGAAAAGGAGGAAGCCTGCAAAGGGCAGCTTACGGTTTGGGGGTAGGAACAGCTGCTATGTTCCCAGGAAGGAGACACAGTAGAAGGAGGAGAAAGATGTCTTCTCTTGGTTGCCAACTTTTCCCCATAATACTGAAGAGAGCGGCTGGCTGCAAAGTCAAGCTGAAGACGCTGGGCTGTCCCCTCATCTGCTACCGGTCGCTGACTGCTTATACCACCTCTCTGCAAACAGTGTGCAAGGCAGAAGAGGTAAGAGCTGGCAGCTGGGATTATGTTGACACACGACTTTTATTTATCAGACTTTGTAGGCACTTGCATGGCCTTTGATTAAAGGACCAGTGATGCATTTTAGGAACGTGAATCAATGATTGGGGGGAACAGAAACAGGAAGCTCAGAGGAACAGCAGAGAGGTGGCAATTACAAAGCTCTTGAAATGGGTTCAGTGTGGCCCAGAAGCGGATTTTTTTAAAAAAATTATTACATTTTTCAACCAATTTTCCCAATGGGGGAACTCTGGGCGATTCACAGCAAACATTAAAACATAAAATATATAAATACATAAAACCTTAATTTAAAACATTACTAAAAAGAAGGAGAGACCAAGAGGATGAAAAATCTGAGGCTGAAGGCAGAAGGCCTCTATGGGGCTAGCCATCCCCATGCTTGAGATATTCTTACCCCACCCCAGGCC